TGACTTGAGTAATGTGTCTTTCACTGTGTGCAGCTACTGTCTCTTATACACATCTAGATGTGTATAAGAGACAGGTGTGTGTGTGTGTGTGAAATTATGATGATTGGGTGAATCCATTCAGGATGCAGCATGGATTAGCCCTACAGGAAGCGTAAAGTGCACAAATCCGGCAGAGGTCTTCCTCTTGCTAAAGAGCTCTGACTCCATTGTCCATGATTTATTGCATGCGTATCCTTCTCCTCGATGCATGTTTTTTTTTGGGGTGGGGGGTTCTGACCGTTCGATGTATTTGCAACGGTACCGTGCCTGTTGTCCTTAATTGACCTGAAGACCTGAAGAGGCCTCCTCTCGCACACCTAAAGGCGTGCTCACACCAGGACTTTCTCATTTCTCGATTTATGCGTGTCATCCTTACGCAGGGGCCATGCTAATCTTCTCTGTATCGTTCCAATTTTAACGGATGTCCCGAAGGACCACCAGGACTTTCTCAGCTAAATGTGGCAGTAATCGTGGTCCCGGATACATCCCAGTGTGCATATGCTGGAAGTCCCTAACCGAACAACTTGTCATGGCCTTTGTGGTGATGTTTTCAAAGAAGACATGCTTGGATTTCTTTGCATTTCTTTTTTTTGTTGCTGCTTTCTCCTCCGGGTGTCAATTAAAGATAATAAATAGGTCTGAAAGGCCATGCTGTCTAGATTTGACAGGTAATTGAATTGGTTGCGCTTCAAAGAATTAGCCTTAAAAGAAAATAAAGAAAGAAAGATGATAAAGCAAGGGCGCAACCAGGCTGTGTGGCTGAATGGTACACAAAATGTAACTGTTAATAAACATAATAACATGAGTCGGAATTCTGATTGGATCAGGCTACTGCTAAGGACTGCCTCCTTTGACAGAAGAAAAAAGGAAAGGGTGCAAGAAATGTTTTTTTAGCAGATGGCCGCCCCACCCCCCCACCCCCCCACAAACGTGACCAACCTTGCATCTTCTACTATACTGTCTATCTATACCTTTTTTGTTTTATGGATGGTTTGTGATCATTCGTGGGTGGAATGAGAGAGATTTTTTATTTTTTATTTTTTAAAAACACATATAGGTAAAACTGTTTCATTGTTGGAGTGGCTCATCTCAAGTGTGCTTCATTCATTGTTGCCAATAGGGGTAAAGCTGCTTTGGTTTTGGATCTACTCATCTGGGTGGAACAGGGGCTGTTGTGCCGAAAATCTAAAACACGCACACACACACGCACAGGCACACACACACACACAGAGACACACACATACACATGGCCTAATTCTTTGCCCTGTGGTAGAGCATGGGCTGTCTGTTGATGAAGGCATGTTTGTGGGTGGTCATGCTTTTTTGGGGCGCGAACGTTTGTTTGGAGTCATGGTCACGATATCTTCGCAAGGAGGCTCAGAGAGTCTTTGCTGTGGGTGTCACTCCCATGGGCTGCTCTTTTGGAGCACATCGAAGATGGTGGTGCTTCCATGGTGTTTTAAGCAGTAGTGCTCCTGGTGTCGCGTGGAGATTCTGTGAATGAATGCTTGGAGTTTTGGCCACAGTACCTTGGCAAGGAGGCTCAGAGATTGTTTGCTGTGGGGGTCATTCCCATGGGCTGCTCATTTTGGAGCACGTGGAAGAAATGGGGACTTCCAGGGTGTTTTAAGCAGTAGCCCTCCTCGTGTCGTGTGAAGATCTTGTGGTCTTTGGGATTATGGTACTCTAATAAACACTCCAGAGGCTAGACAGCAGATGGGGACTGTTTAGCCATGGAGTGACAGAGGTAGTGGTGACGTGAGTGGGTCGTTTGGGAGGAATAGGAGTGCCAGTGCTGCTGTGCTTGTGGGCTGACTCGGAGGGATCTCCCAAGTTTTTCCGGACTGTTGCGGGATTTGGACGGTGCGTTCTTGCTGGTGGAGCCTTCTGTATTATGTACGTTGCCTTCTGCACTTCACCTTTGTTTTTGTAGATTGAAAAAAACTATTATATATTTGTGCAAGTGTGCCGCTTCGGAGGCAGACGGGTGTGCAGACACTTCCCGCTCCATCACACAAACATTGGGAACCTTGCACCTTCCATTACATTGCTCATCTATATTTCTTTGTGTTTATGGATGGCTTGTGATGGTATGTGGATGGAATGAGAGAGAGAGAGAGAGAGAGAGAGAGAGAGAGAGAGAGAGAGAGAGAGAG